TCTCTCTCTCTCAAATAAATAAATAAAATCTTAAAAAAAAAAAAAATTTTAAATAGTTACTGAAAATCTTGGAATATCACATTGAGCCCACAACTCTAGACAAAACATCATATGTACTTTTAATAAATATCTTTATTTCAAATTGCCATCATCATTAAAGAAAGACCTAGACTTCTATCAGTTATAGCATGTTAGAGTGAAAGGAACTGAAGCTTTCGTTTTGTCAATAAGGAAATAGTCCTGTAGACAATATAGAGAATATGATTTGCCAAAGTTGGAAAACTGATAAGTGGCAGAGCCAGGGCTTAAATAATGGCATAAAACTTTACATTCATTGAGTATTTATTAAGTACCAACTATGTGTCTATAACAGGATGTATTTTGGTATGATATTGTTAATTAAAAATATTTTTAAAAATAAATAAGCTAGAAAAAGGCTTTACTAGAGAAAGATACCTAATTTCTCTATAAATATATAACCTTTTATGTTGAAAGAGAAGATATGAAACATCATGCCAGTTCATCTGGGCTGTGGGCCTCAGAATGTGATAGCTTAGAATAACAATGTTAGAGAACCAGAAAGAATGTCAATTGAATCTTCTTCATCAGAACTCCATCATGCACCTCTTATACCTTAAAAAACAAAAGAGGAAATGACTTGCCCAAGAGCTTAGATCCCAGCCTCCTGCCTCCTTATTGCCATCCTTTGAAATATTATAGACCTTCTGTGAATTTTAAAATAGTTTTATATAACTCTGAGAAATAGTTTTGCCACTTGTGTTTGATGTCAGAGTTTTTATATGCAAGATTTCCTTTCTCCGTGGAATTCTAAAGGTTCTATTTTATGTGCATGTAAGAATGCTAGGCTCTAGGGATTGCTTCTGAGGCCTTGCTCAGTTTGCTAGGGATCCTGGAAAGTCTCTCTTGTACAAAAGCATCTCATAGCTTTAACAGATTGTGACTGTTTCATTTGGAAATGTTCCTTTGTTAGATTTGTTAAGTTTAATTTTCGTTGCTTGTGGGAAATTACTGATGTCCTTGAAGAGTTCTCAAAGACATAAATGAAATGATGTCTTGGTACTTGGAAGCATACATAATTCACCTATCTCTTTCCAGCCTTCTTGTCCTTCATAAAGAAAAAGATTGAGGCAAAACTTTTAGCTTGCTTGCCTTTACGAGTCACCTCTTTTCGTTTCATTGCCTCCTATTCAATTCTCAGCATTAGCTTATTTCAGAAGAACCTTTATTTTCTTCTACTCAATTATCTGGGTTTATTTTTTAAATTTATGTTACAAATCTATTTGTGATATAGTCCAGTGCTTGTTACAAAATAGGATTTAGCCTACAGGACATAGTTTGCCAACCCCTACCCTACATTTATATTAATTTTTAAATTTCTCTTTTGTTTCCCAGGTGAAACAAATGCTCAGATGTCCAGAATGACTGAAGAATTATCTGGGAAGAGTGATGAACTGATTCGGTACCAAGAAGAGATCTCCTCTCTCTTATCTCAAATTGTAGATCTTCAGCACAAAGTTAAAGAAGTAGGTTCATTCATTCATTCAACAGATGTTTGTTAAGCCCTGGCCTAGTACATGCACTCTGCTAGATGCTAGATACATTAAGCAAAGTAAACATGCTCCCTACCCCTTTACAGTGCTTTAGTCTGACGACTGGTATAGCCCTTCTCAGTCACGAAATATATGAATAACTTCTTTCAAGTTACTATTTCTCTCTTTCAAGTGGGGTTAGATTTTCCTTAGAAAACTGTGATGTGGATTAGTGACTCATGCTCATTGACCTCTGAACACCTTAATTAAGATTTTGTATTCTGCGCATTTTATTGCTCTTATTTGGCTTTTGAAAGGTTAGCTTTTTATAGGCCTCTGGACCTTACCCCTGAGAGACACTCTTAAGATATCTTTAAAAAAGGGAGAGTAGCCCATATTTTGTATGGGAAGGCTCATTTTTCTTTTTTAATATGTTGTTAGCATGTAATTGAGAAGGAGGAACTGAGACTTCACCTACAAGCTTCCAAAGATGCCCAAAGACAGCTGACAATGGAGGTAATCAAATCTTCCTTTATCGTGTGTAATATGGGGGGGGGGAATTAATAGTTTCTTTCATTTTCATGACTAAGAATGATTAAAGGTGATTGCCAGATTTTAAATAACAACAAAAGAGTAAGATTAAATTATGAGATCTAAGAAGTAAAGCAATTTAAAGATTCTGTCCCTAAAATTAATAACATGAAAACATCTTTCTTGATTAATAGAGAAAACCTTGTCTTTTGTAAGATTCTTTAGGAATATGTGACCCTTTTACCAGTCTACCTTAACCCAACAGTTTTTAAAATAATTTCTATAATAAGTGTTTTTACAGATATGTCAGGAGAAACACCAAAAATCTTTTACTTTTTATCTATAAAAATTCTGTGTATTAGATATAATTTAGTGGTCCCCTAGCATACACTAAGAATCACCTGGCAAAATGAGTTATAAATGAAATTCCCAAGCACCATCGCCAAAAGTTTCCGATAGAGTAGTTCTACAGTAAGGGTTTAGAATCTGCATGATCCAGTCCACATACCGCACTTGAAGAAATTTTTGAAGTTAAAATGTACTCTGAAAAGGGTGCCTGGGTGGTTCAGTCGGTTGAGCGTCTGCCTTTGGCTCAGGTCATGATTCCAGGGTCCTGGGATCCAGCCCCACATAAGGCTCCCTGCTCGGCGGGGAATCTGCTTCTCCCTCTGCCTCTGACCCTCCCCAATGCTTGTGCTCCCTCTCTCTCTCAAATAAATAAATAAAATAAAATCTTTAAAAAAAGAATGTACTCTGAAAATTATATACTCTTTTACCATGCTTGTGTACCTAACTATAAAGAAGATTCTGAAACAAGGGTGGAGAAACTACTTGTTTGGGATGATTGAGGACCCTGGCAACATATATAGTACTTTGTAGACTTGATCTTGTCATTTACAGACTTCAGAGTGACATTTAAAAATATGCACATCTAGGGCGCCTGGGTGGCTCAGTCGTTAAGTGTCTGCCTTCCGCTCAGGTCATGATCCCAGGGTCCTGGGATCGAGTCCCACATCGGGCTCCCTGCTCGGCGGGAAGCCTGCTTCTCCCTCTCCCACTCCCCCTGCTTGTGTTCCTGCTCTCGCTATCTCTCTCTCTCTCTCAAATAAATAAAATCTTAAAAAAAAATAAAATAAAATAAAAATATGCACATCTAACATTATGCTAAACCTAACTTGACCCATAGCTATTATTCTTCCTCTATAAGTTTTTTGTTAAGATTTTATTTATTTGAGAGAGAGAGGGAGCACGAGCAGGGGGAGGGGCAGGGGGCAGGGGGAGTGGGAGAAGCAGACTCCCTGCTGAGCAGGGAGCCCAACGTGGGACTTAATCCCAGGACCCCCAGATCCTGACCTGAGTCAAAAGCAGACGCTTAACTGACTGAGCCACCCAGGTGGCCCCCTCTATAAGTTTATTTTAAGGATATGAAACATTAAATATTGAATTAACGGTTATGGTTATTTCAGCTACATTTCATATTTTTAGGAAATCATGTTTATGATAGCCAAAACATCCCTAATTCTGGTGACTTGAAATATATACACACACACACACATATACTCTCCTTGCTTAAGTTTGTTTTAGAGCTTTTCTATTGAAATTATATTCATAAAGTTATCTAGCCCTCTGGATAAAATTAATACTTATCCAAATGAGGTTTATTTTCCCCATTGTCATGTTGAGAATGTGATGAAGTACACTAATTATCATCCTTTTTTTCAGCTGCATGAGTTACAAGACAGGAATATGGAGTGTCTGGGAATGTTACATGAATCCCAAGAAGAAATAAAGGAACTTCGAAGTAGGTCTGGCCCTGCTGCTCATCTTTACTTCTCACAGTCATATGGAGCTTTTTCTGGGGTGAGTTTTTCCTGGGAAATATGTTACTTGTTTAAGAAAACTTGCTTAAGATTAGATTGTTCTGAGAGTGATATGGTTTCTGGTGGTATAAAGTATCTTGAGAAGAGATAATGTGGTTTGTCCTTGTTTCTGGAATTCATATATTGATTTACATATTTACATCTATCTTAGTACTCTTATTTATTACAGCCTTTCTTCTAACAGACAACCTTCCAGGTTTATTGTAATATATGAGATGAACCCTAAGGAAATTAGGTTTAGGTCTGTGTACCATAGAGCTACTTAAATTTGTGTCATCCTTACCCTAGGCTACATGCTACTTATTCAAATAGAACTCTGAACATCTAAAACTTCGTTTCAACAGATCTTGAGTTTCTTGGTATATTTAATTTCAGTTAGAGTGTAAGTGCCATGAGGGCAGGATTCATGTTTGTTTAATTCATCAATATATAGTATTAAATTAATGAAAACTTGTGAGTTCATGCCAAAATTTGTAATATTGGTTCAAAGAATTATTTTAACAATCTAGTTCATAAATAGTTATAAGCAATACTGTGAAGTTTTTTAAAAAACAAACTATAAATTATAATAGATTTTTTTGAAGAATATGGGAGCAGGATTTTTGTTTTTTAACTTTTTATTTTGAAATAATTTTAAACTGAGACTAACATTGCAACAAAAGTACAAAAACTCTCATATATCCTTCATCTAGATTCCTCAGTTTTTAACATTTTACTACATTTGGCGTATCGTTCTCTTATTTTTTTTCTGGACCATTTCACAGTAAGTTACAGATACACTCGATTAACTGTGTATCTACTAAAAATAAGGACACTCTCCTATGTAACCACACTACAACCATCAAAGTCAGGAAATTGTCATTGATATACAATACTACCATCTCATCCACAGAGCCCATTTAAATTTTGCCAGTGATCCCAACAATGTCCTTTGAAAGATATGTTGTATTTGCTTGTTTCAACTGGAATAGTTCTTCTATCTCTGCTTGCCTTTCATGACCTTTGTAGAATGTCCTCAGTTTGGGTTTATCTGATATTTCCTCATGATTAAATTCAGGCAATGTATTTTTGGCAGAAATAATGCCATGTTCTTCTCGGTACACTGTAATAGGAGGCTCACATTGTCTATTTATCTCATTACTGATGATGTTAATTAATTTTGACCACTAGGTTAACGTAGTATCTGCCAACTTTTCCCACTCTAAAGTTAATCAATGCTAATTGATAGTTAATCAAATTAATGTTACAAATTAACTTTACAATGATGAAAATTGGTAGATGCTACCTTAGCCAAGTGGTCAAAGTTACTCTTTGTGGGAAAATACTATACTTTGAGACTATTTAATTATCCTGTTTTTCTCAGCAAATATTTATCCACTAGTTTTAACATGAAGTGATGGTTCATATCTGACTCAGTCATTACTATGATGATTGTCAAATGGTGATTTTCTAATTCCATCATTTTTTTGACATTTATTAATTGACAGTCTTTTGTCAGAGCCATTCTGTGTCATTCATTCATTCATTCATTCATTCATTCATTCATTGGGTCGGGGAGGCATAGAATCTTAAGCAGACTACACACCCAGCATGGAGCCCGACACAGGGCTTGATCTCACAACCCTGAGATCATGACCTGAGCCGAAATCAAGAGTCAGACACTCAACCAACTGAGCCACCAAGGTGCCCCATTTCTGCCTCCTTTATTTATTCATTTGTTCATTTAGTTATGTCCGTATGGACTCTTAGACTCCTATTTTAGTGAGTGGATTATAATCTATTATTACTATTTTTGATTATGATACTTAAATTGTTCCAGATATGGCCAGTGGGATCTCCTTAAAACTCATCTTGCCTTTTCCTGTCCCAGTCCTGGAATCAGCCATTTCTCCAGGGAGGTCTGGTTAGTTTTAATGAGGAATGATACTTAGAATTCAAGATCTGACTCCTGTATATCCATTGCCACTAGAGCATCATTACGTCGAGGCCCTCTCAGCAGATAGAGCTAGGAAATATATGTGCGTTCATACATACACCCATTCAAACACATCAGTATCTGTGTTTCCATCCATATTTGTGTTCATATATATACATATATATGTATTTATATATGTATATACGTACATGTATTTATGTATGTGTATATATATATATAAAACATGAGTTCACACCAGTATCTCCAGTTCTAGTCATTGTCAGCTCAGCTTCACTGAGCATGGCAGCCATGCTAGTTGAATCCTCATCTCTGACCAGGGAAAGGGGAAACTTGCTTATTTTTCCTTTAATGATTTTTCTACATTATAAAAGCTATACATGTTTATTATAGAAAAGTTAGAAATTAAACAAAACAAAAAGAAATTGTGAAACACCATCAAATCCTGACCTCCAGAGAATCATTATTGGCATCTTGGTTTATAGCCTTTCAGACCTTTTGTTTTTTGTGTCTCCATATGTAATATTTTCTATTTATCATGTTGGTTTTTTCCACTGTTCTCCTGTAAAAATACATCATGAAAAAGAAGTTGGTTCTTGTTAAAAGTTATATTTCCAAAATGTCTCTTTTTTCCTTGCGTTTTGGCCTGTGACTATTTTCTTGTGTTTTATTCCAACACCAAAGTATTGGATTCTGGAGACTCTGTTAATTAATTTAAGGATAATTCATTTCTCCTAACAGACTTCTTACATAATCATTATAGGAATCTCAAACTCTTTTTCTTAGGAATCTCTGGCAGCTGAGATTGAGGGGACCATGCGTAAAAAGTTGAGTTTGGATGAGGAATCTTCTCTCTTTAAGCAAAAGTAAGTACAGATCACATGTGTTATTACCCAAGCATTAGGATGGAATTAAAAGGAAGCCACAGTCCTAAGTGATAGGTATTTTGAGATTCAGTTGCAAATCTGCTTAGTATTCAGTGTTTTTTTCATGGTGCTCACATTTGTAAGAGTACTCTCTTGTTCTGAAGTTTATTTTCTAATAATTTCTCCTAAAGTTTAGAGGCTAGTCAAGGTGGCTTTATTTTTAATGAATTGCATATACATGTCTCTTCTAAAGCACTCCAGTGTAGGCAGTGGCAATAATGAATGCTTCTCTTTTGACAGAGCCCAACAAAAACGGGTATTTGATACTGTCAAAGTTGCCAATGACACGCGGGGCCGCTCCAACCCATTCCCAGCTCTGCTACCCATTCCAGGGTCCAACCGTTCAAGTGTCATCATGACAGCAAAACCTTTTGAGTCTGGTTTACAACAAACAGAGGACAAAACACTCCTGAGTCAGCAGAGCAACTCAGAAGAGGTTTCAGAGTAAGAAACGTAGATCATGGCACTGATTCTATAATTTTTATGGCATTGACATACCAGATTCACATACCTATATTCCAGCATTGTTCTGTGCTATTCCAAGGAGGTTCTGGAACTGTCAGTTTTCATTCAGTAACAATGCCCTATAGCATTATTTGTAAGACAGATCATTGACTTCATAAAAGTTTTTAGAATGAGAGGGCTACATTTAATTAAGTATATTCAAAGTGGAACTTGCATTGAACTATAAAATTCTTTACTACTTTCTTCTTTAGTATGGCAAAGTTTGAGTCTAAATCTTCATGTTCTAAGTCAGATTTGTTTGACTCTGTTCGGTCATTGGCAGTTGTGCATAGCATCAGATGACACTTTCTTATAACCCATGCTCATAATCTCAACTGTTTTGGTGCCTTTAGGATAAATGATAAGCTTGAATACCTATGGAGGAAAAGTAGCTTGCTCTTAACTTCCTATTTGTTTAAACTTAGATTTTTTTCCAGTTTTCATTAATTCATCTTACTGAATTACATATATATAACTAGAGTTAAATAGAATCCCTGGAAAGTCGGCAGAAGACTTTTGAAAGGTAGATGTTTGGCATCTGAGAGAAATTTTTCCTAATGCAGAAATCTATCCTAGAACATACCAAATACCCAGTAAGTATTAGCTGTTATCAGTAGTAGATGGGGTAGTATTCTTACCATTAGTGAACGCTAATTGTGGACTAGGAGCTTAAGTCTTAGTTAATTAATCCTGTCAACAACAACCCTGTAGGGTAGGTACTATATCTTTTCAATTTATAGTTGAGGGAAGTGAGGCTTAAATCGTTTTGTAACTTGCCCATGGTCACTTCATAGGAGGGTATTGGTCACATTTCTGTAAACTACAGGTTTGGTCCATGGATGCAATTTGTTTGGTTCAAAAATAAAAATATTTGTGTTGCCAAAAAAAGGAAGAAACCAAGAAAGAAAAAGATCCATCACCCTGGGTTTTCTTTTGTCTTTCAGTTTGTACCTACAGTAGCTTTATGTGTCAATACTATGTCATTGTACACAATTAACTTAGGAGAAGATCAACAAACATCTTTGTGAATTCACATCTAGTAGCCAGGAGCAACTACAGCTTGGCTTGCTACTCTTTCTTTTGATATCAATTGTAAGAAACCTCTAATTTCAAAAATACTCAAAACTGAACAAATGTGTTCACAGAACTATGAGGATGTAGTATTTACAAATCTTGGGTTTTTTTTAAATGTTCTACAATATTCAAAGAGGATTCAATGGCCCAAAGCAAATTTTTTCACATTTTAATATTTTTGAAATTATTAATGGCATATCATAGTTTAATGGGTAGCATTTTTTTCTCTCTGAGTAGTGCATAAAATAAAATAATAGCACCTCTTGTAATCAGTGGTATTATAGATTCAATGCAATATGATAAAGTTTACTTTTCTGGCTACCTAAACTAACTTTATAGATAGTCATATCTGTAGTTTCATAAATTAAGTGACTACACTTATCATGGTGAGCATTGAGTAATATTTACAATTGTCAAATCAGTATATTATATACCTGAAACTAATATAACATTGTATGTTAATTATACTTCAGTATAAAAATTAAATGAAATAGAAAAGTTAGTAAACATAAAATAAGTATATTTTTGCTTGTCTGAAGTTGCTTGAAATGATCTGTAAAAAAGGATGTATTAGTGATTTTGGTTTATTATTATTTCTGTATTCTTGATATCTAAGGAAAAAAACACTATGATTTTAAGATCAGTCTCTTGAACATTCACCATTGTAGAAAAGAGAAGTCTAGATTGTGCTTATCACCTTTACAGATCTAGTCAGTGAGTGATTTTCCCACAGGAACGTTCAGAAGGTGGGTCAACCAGGACCCTCTGGAGATAGTGATTTGGCTACAGCACTGCATCGCCTTAGTCTGCGGCGACAGAACTACTTAAGTGAGAAGCAATTCTTTGCTGAAGAATGGGAGCGGAAGATCCAGGTTCTGGCTGACCAGAAAGAAGGGGTTAGTGGCTGTGGCACCCCCACGGAGAGCCTTGCCTCTCTCTGCACTGACCAGTCGGAGATCACAGACCTCAGCAGTGCCAGTTGCCTTCGAGGTTTTATGCCTGAAAAATTACAGATTGTCAAGCCCCTTGAAGGTAATAAATAAGTAAGGGCCATTCTTAAGCCACGTTGCTTATTAGCCTTTCCTTTCCTGGAATTGAACTTTGTATTGTAATTATAAGAGGACTATGTGCAGGAGATACCTTTATTACCCCTAAACCACATTTGTGGGACAGTCCATTATGGTACTTACTTTGTGGAAAAAGAATGAAGAGATCTGCTTTCTCCAAGTCATCAGCCATCAGAATTTTTTTCATATAAATGTGAGGGAGGAGGAACATCCTTTCTTGTCCTTAGCTAAGATATATCATTGACAGCAGTTTTTATGGTAAAATAAATGGGATATGATAAATAAATAAAAATAATATAGATGTAATACGTCATCTCTACCTTCCTTTTCAAAAAAGAGTCCTTTACCCAGGAAGTGTCATTTACTTAGAGATATGTGTGTCTGGGTTGGTGGTTTTTTGTTGTTTTTTTTTTTTTTCCTGTTTTGATAATTTCCTTTCAGTTTCTGTTCCCTCTGAGGATAGAACTTGAATTCAAAATAAATTTGTTTTAGGGAATATTGATTACCTTCAAATGATTCTATTATTATCATAAAGGAATCTGCATTAGACAAAATTTTGAGTAGGTAATCTATAAGGACCCTTCAAACTCAGGGATGCTATAAGTTAGTTTCATTCATTAATGATCAGTGCAGTTATTTGTCAGAGTTGCCCACTCTAGGGTGAAATGTCTATAGTGACATAATTAGACATTGCAGGAGCAGGCACTTGGATGGTCATTCACCGGGGTTCTTAGGCCGGAACCACGGGGATATATCCTCCTTTTAGCATCTCCTTCACTTTTGTACTCTCCCTGGAGAGCCTGGGGAACGGAGAGTCATGAGCAGGGTGGGGAAGAACACAAAAAAACAAAACAAAACACTGAAATTCAGGTGTCTTTCGATCTAGAAGCCTGGCTTTTCACTTTGAAGTTCGTAAGTAAGGAAGTTTTGATTTTTGTCACCTGGGGAAATACAGCCCCACCTCCAGGGTGCATGTCTTCCTTCTCCTCACTGCCTCAGCATCCTAGTTCCCATTAAGGGTGTTGTCTTGGCTTTTTCACTGCTGCTTTAGATGTCTTTTTAAACTTTACTTTGAAACAGAAAGATTATTGCTCATACCTTTAGCATCTTGTCAGTCTTCCAGAGAACTTTATATAAATTTTACCAAAATATTAAGACTAAATAAGTAGTTTTATTATTATCCTTACTTTTTTACACATATAATTTTAGCCTCTGTTTCAAGATTGAATATTTGTGGGAAATTTAAAACGTGCCTTATGGGGTTTTGTTTTGTTTTGTTTTTGGTCTTTCACATTCAGGATCACAAACTTTGCACCACTGGCAGCAGCTTGCTCAACCAAATTTAGGAACCATTCTTGACCCACGACCAGGTGTCATCACTAAAGGCTTTACCCAGTTGCCCAAGGATGCCATCTATCACCTCTCAGATTTAGAAGAGGATGAAGAGGAAGGTATCACTTTTCAAGTGGAACAGAAACCTTCAGTATCCAAGCCAGTAACAGGAATCTTCCTTCCAGCCATTACTTCAGCTAGTGGTCCAGTTACAGGTAAGCACAGTGCTTGGTGGGGTATGGTCCAGTAATTCTGCATTCTGACTTACAGGATGGCCACTTGACCACCTCCACTTAAATCTAACTCGAATGCACTCAGTCTTGAAGAAAAGAAAGATCTATAATGACAGTGGCCTTTCTCATTCTTCCCACCTCTTAGCCAGCCTGTGTAAGAGAAAGATCAATTCAGTCAGTGGTTCATAAGCCTTTTGGGCTCAGGATTTCTTTATACCCTTAAAAATCATTGAGAATTCCAGACAGCTTGTCTTTGTGGGTTGTATCTATTGATATTTACCATATTAGAAATCAAAACTGAGAAATAATCAAAATATTTATTAACTCATTTAAAAATAATAATTACATGTTAACACAAATAATATGTTTTATGAAAAATAGCTATTTTCTTTAAGTAGTGAGAAGAATAGTTTTGTTTTACAATTTTACAAGTCTCTAATTTATGGCTTAAAAGAAGATGGCTGGATTTTCATACAGCTTCTACATTCGGTCTGTTATAGTATGTTGCTTTGTTTAAAGAGTATGAAGAAAATGCAGGCTCACACAGAGGTATAGTTGTAAAAGGAGAGAGTATTTTAATAGCCTCTTCAGGTATTTGTGGATAATTCTTTGATATTACACCAAAACTTGGTGAGTGGTAGTTTCTTTAAGCTTTATAAAAGCAATATGGAATCCAAAAACCTATCAGTGAACTTTTCATACTTAGTTACAAAATCTGTTGATCTTTCCTACACTTTGAATGCATCTTTTACCCATCATGCATTGGTCATTTGGAAAATATTGGTTCACTGAGTTATGCAGATCTTCCAAATGTTAACATATTTCATTATATAATATATTAAAATTACATTAATATCACCACGTATCTCATCAGATAAATCTTTTTAGTATTAGGAAGCTTTAAAGCTCACAAAGGTGGATATGAGTTCTCCAAAACTCTCATTTTCACTTGAAGGTAAAATTTTGTCACTGACAGCAATCCTGTAAGCTGTTTTTGTTGAAGAAATAGGCTCAATACCTTCATTTCCAAGAAAATTTCTGCCAGATAGCCAAGTCTGAATAAATGAAGTTAGTTGTTCTTTCAAGTAAAAAATGGTGTTCCTTGAAAAAATTTCAACTCAACTGCCCATATGCTTTTCCTTTAGATAACCATTGTATCTTGGTATGCAGCAGAGTGCTTAATGCCCACTTCCCACTTAGTCACACAGAATATTAAGGTAGTCACACATTATAATATTAAGCTGCTGCCAGTGGTGCAAAGTTTGTGATCCTGAATGTGAAAGACCAAAAACAAAACAAAACCCCATAAGGCACGTTTTAAATTTCCCACAAATATTCAATCTTGAAACAGAGGCTAAAATTAACAAGACTGTCCTCACTTGTTTTTTTGTGGGGTTTTTTTTGTGGTCAGGAATCTGGCTTTTTTTTTTACTATTGCAGGTGGGCAGCAGTGAAGAATATTAGCATAGCTTGTATAGCTTGGTGCCGTTGCCTTGATTTGTGCTAAGGAGTCAGCAGTTTTGCTCAGCATTGCTTTTGCTCCGATAGTGCAAACGCCAACCCAGTCAGAAAGGCAAATAACATCTTAGCATTGCTGTGAATGTAGTTTTGACCTGTGACCTGTGGATTCCCACAAGGTCTGCAAACCACACTTTGAGAACTGTTGAAGTAGATAGTTTGGCTAGAAAGACTGAATGACTAGATCTTGTTGGGGGCAGGCCAGGGGGGAGGGGAGATTTTCAGAATATGTTTTTCTCTTATTTCTAACCTATTTTTAATCCTTTTGGATTACAGTTTTAAAGTATTGAAGGATTCAGCTATATACCAGCCAGTTGATACTAACACAATATTTATGTATATTTCATTTCCAAATTTGGTGATTTTTGTACAAAAGACCCTTTACTAATGCTTAATTAATAAATAGTGATGAATGTTTTACATTATTAACCTAATCTTTCAATTTTGTTTGATTCCATTAAAATCTCTACTTCAGTTGCAACCTCAAACCCAGGCAAGTGTCTGTCATGCACAAACTCGACATTCACCTTCACCACCTGTAGGATATTGCATCCTTCTGATATCACTCAGGTTACCCCCAGGTAAGGGGTCTGGGCAATGTGAGGCCTAAAACTTATTTCCTTAACTATGTTTTCATGAATTTATTTTAAAAATTACTTTCATTTTAACTCCCAGAATTTTAATTAATGTTCTGTGATCATTTGTCTTTAGGATATTTTCACATTGTGTCTTCTCCTTTGATCATTATAACTCTTTGAAGTTGGCAGGGCAAGTGAGTATGTATTGTGTAAGTGAAAAACTGAGGCATAGACAGTTTAGGTAACTGGTCCAAAGGCAGAGAGGTAGCAAATGACCCAGCTGCAACTATACCCAGAGTAAGCTAAACTGCAAGATTTGAGGGATCAGTCCTCAACACAAGACTGTCCTCACTTGTTTTTTTGTGGGTTTTTTTTTTAAGATTTTATTTATTTATTTGTCAGAGAGAAAGAGAGAACGCACAGGCAGGGGGAGCAGCAGGCTCCCCGCTGAGCAAGGAGCCCAATGCGGGGCTCGATCCCAGGACCCTGAGATCATGACCAGAGCCAAAAGCGGGTGCTTAACCAGCAGAACCACCCAGGTGTCCCACTTGCAAGTTCTGCAAGTTCAGGATGTTCCCAAAACCACTCTCTGGTGTGATAATTTGCTAGAAAGATTCACAGAACTCACTGAAAGCCATTAGGCTCATGGTTGCTGTTTATTACAGGGAATGACTACAGGTTAAAATTAGTCAAAGAAAGAAACATAGGTCAAAGTCTGGGAGAGTTCCATGTGAAAAGTTTTCCTTGTCCTTAGGATTCATTGATTTCCTAACATCAATGTGTGATAGTACATGCAGAGTATTACCAACTAGGAAAGCTCATGCAAGCCTCAGTATCCAGATTTTTTATTGAGGTTTCAGTGCATAGTAATGATTAATTGATTGATCGATTGCCCACATAGTTGAGCTCACCTCCAGGTCCACTGACCTAAAGCCCCCACCCTAAATCACATGGTTGTTCTCTCTGGCATGGCTAACTCCCACCCTAAAACTATTGGGGGTGGCCAGCTCACCCCATGATCTAGTATGGCCAGCCTTCATCCCAAACAAAGACACATGTATCAGACACGGCATAGATTACCTCCCAGAAGCTGAGGGCAAAGGCCAGAACCCTCTGGGCAAAGCCAAATTATTTACTATACAGGCTACAACATGCATATTCTAACACCTAGTTGAGGGATCTTATTAAGCCATATTGCTGCTATTTCTGTCCTACCGATTCCCGAAAGAATCTAAGGTGGTTTTCAAAGGTACGTACAACACTGCGATAATGTTAACTAGGAATAGTGAAGAAAAATGAAGCGTAGAGGAATGAAGAGTAAGGATATAAAATGGATAGAAGAATAAAACTAGTATACAAATTATAACATAAAGTCTTATATACTTGCTACTGTGAACCATGTATTTGAGTCTTAACTTTCTAGCTGCCAGTGTGGAAGGAAATAAGATTATGATTCACAACGTATGTGTAAGAGCAAATCATTTATTTAGGGAAGCATTGGGTTTCACCCAATAAAGATCTTAGTAAAGTCTGTAATGAACAGGCATAGCTGCAATTTTTCCACATTGTTCTTATGTCAACAAGACAATAAGTTTTATAAAATTGGTCCTTGAGAGGACTCTCAATACAAGTTGATACCATATGAAGTATACAGTTTGGGAAAGGACAGTCAGTTCTACAGTAAAGTAGGAACAGGGAGGTGGGAAACTGGGAGTATAGTCTATAGACTACATCAAATTAGAGGGTCTTAGTTGGATTTGTTTAACCACAGAGTCAAACTTGTTTGTTTTTTTCATACCAGTTGGTGCTTTAGAAAGTTTATTTATTATTGAATTATTAGTTCTAATAATAACTTTGTTCATAATCATTAAAAAATTTTGTTATCTTGATATACTGAGTATTTTGTGTTAAAGTGAAAGTTTATCTATTAAATACTGGTAACATTTGCTCAAGGGAGGGAAATTGGCTAAAGATGTCCCTTCTCTGCTCTATCACCATTTCCCTAAGTACATGATTTCTTAGCGTTTTTTTGTTTGTTTGTTTCTAACAAAACACAGAATAATAGTTGTCAAAGCTTTTAATTATTTTTTTTTTAAGATTTTATTTATTTGACATAGAGAGACAGCGAGAGAGGGAACATATGTAGGGAGAGTGGGAGAGGAAGAAGCAGGCTTTCCGCTGAGCAGGGAACCCGATGTGGGGCTCGATCCCAGGACCCTGAGATCATGACCTGAGCTGAAGGCAGACGCTTAACAACTGAGCCACTTAGGCGCCCCTTTTAATTATTTTTATTTTCCCAGAAACACATGTTTGAAGTCAAGGTTAAGAAAAATTTGTTTCATGGGTATCCTTATACTACTATTGTTTGGAATTAACATTTTTGAAAATAGAAATTTTAACAATTTCAACTTTTATGAGTTTTTAGTAATATAAAATTGAAAGATTAAAAAGAAAACAATTTCTCCTTAGAAGAACATCTTAGGTTTAATATAAAAGATTGTATGGTCTAAAAAAGTTGGAGAATTATTTACTCATGGATTATTGTTTCTGGTGTATTTCACTTTATGGAATGAATATATAAAAATAAAAATTTCTGGTTACTTTCTGTAATATTTTATTTTCTTTGATTTCTGTCATAAAATTTATTCATATTCCCAAAGACACATATTTTGAGTTATAATTTAAGAATAAAATTATCTGAGAGTAAACTTTCTCATATCCTTTGAGAAGAAGTATGTTTCAATGAGTTAGTGACTTAGTTATAAATTACAAATAATTAACCAGTCACTGAAGTAACATCAAAATTCTTATTGCTCAAATCTTTCCAAAGAGTACAGTTACTGATGTATAGCCTGTTGTTCTATATTTACTACGGATAACTAATGTAAATGCTGACTTGGAAATTACTTTTTATTTTTAAACACTCTCTCCTGCTCTTTCTTTCTTTCTTTTTTTTTTTCCCCCAAAGCTCTGGGTTCCCTTCGTTATCCTGTGGAAGTAGTGGTAACAGTTCATCAAACACAGCGGTGAATTCTCCTGCTATGTCCTATAGACTCAGCATTGGTGAATCTGTTACCAACCGACGAGATTCCACTATCACCTTCAGTAGCACCATGAGCTTGGCCAAACTTCTGCAAGAGCGGGGCATTTCTGCTAAAGTGTATCACAGCCCAGTTTCAGAGAGCCCCCTCCTCCAGCCTATCCCTAAAGCCCTGGCTATTCCTTCTACACCACCAAATTCACCATCTCACTCACCTTGCCCTTCTCCTTTGCCCTTTGAGCCTCGAGTTCATCTCTCCGAAAATTTTTTGGCCTCCCGACCAGCTGAAACATTCCTCCAGGAGATGTATGGTTTGAGACCTACCCGGAACCCTCCTGATGTTGGCCAGTTGAAGATGAACTTAGTGGACAGGCTGAAGAGACTGGGGATAGCCAGAGTGATCAAGACCCCTGATGCACAGGAAAATGGAAGAAGCCAAGAGGCAGAAATTGGTCTTCCAAGACCAGACTCTGCTGTTTATTTAAATTCAGGTAGCAATTTATTGAGTGGATTGAGGAGGAATCAGAGCCTTCCAGTCATGATGGGTAGCTTGGGCACCCCAGTTTGCACAACTTCACCGAAAATGGATATCCTGAAGGAAGACTGAAGTTCAGCAGTTAACTGACCTCTTCAACAAATTAGCACATGAAGGATAGATTTGCACTGATACATGTAGTCTGATCTGACTGAGAGACAAGGAATGTTGCAGATGGGTTGTGAATGTGGAAAGGGGAAAATGGAACAATGGAAACAGAATTGGGACGAGGCCCTAATGAATGAGGTCTAATAAATTGAAAGTATAAATGAATGGGTCATGAGTGTTTGGAGCAGAAAAGGAAGAAAAGTTTAATATACTTCAGTTGGATGTTCCTATCTTGAGAATAAAAAGTGACTGGACAATAAATTCAGTAATATCAAAATATACCAGTTATACTGAACTTGCTAGCACATTTACTTCTAGTAAGCAAAAGCAGCAAGAACCCAGCTTAGGAGATGGGAAGAGAAAGGGAGCAGCTTTGATCATTGCCTATGAAAAGCTGAACTGCAGGGTTGCTGGGCTAAGCCCCATCTGTTACTGAGGCTTTTATGTTTTACCCTGTTACGGTCTGCTTAAATTACATATCCATCAAATGGTATGTACACAGCAGTAGCAAACAAGGAATTTTATCTTTTTCATAAAATCAGAGTAGTGGAAACTCCCTTTTGCTTTCTGTTTTCAAGCCTTTGAGCCACTGGGAGCCCAAACACCACCCACATTCCTTTTGTATTTGTGATTAATAAAAGTTCATTTTTAAATTTGTATCTTTATACAATACCTCCAAAAAACCAATATGAATTGGGGGGTAGGAAGGATTTACTTAAGAAGGAAAATATGGGTAAGTTGGAACCAAGGAAACTTGTTTTCAGAATATTTCCTTTAGATAAGGACAGTGACCAAGGCATATGAACACAATTACATGTCTTTCAAATTTCCTTGGAGGCTGGAAGGAGTTAAACCAGAAGTGCAATCAATAGGAATTAGGGAATGTTATGTATTTATGTCTGTATGTTTTTTGTAAGGAAAGTTACTTGCAACTAAACTTTTTCCAAAGTGCTATGCATATTTTTCAGTGAAGATGAGATGTATTTGCACAAAAATTCTCAGGCATATTAAATTATTATAAGCTAAAGTAAAACCCAGGTACTTGCTTTGAGATTGTGGTTTTTTTAAATGTAAAATTAAAACACATCTGTCTTTTTCTTGATATCTGTAGAATTCGAGAATGAACATTTTTAATGGGAAAGTCAAAGCTTTTGCTTTTTTTCCTGGGATTCCTTTTTTTTTTTTTTTTCTTTACAAATTCTGTGAAATGGCAAAGTTTACTCATGGATTAGGTTTCAGCATTCAGCAGTGTGACGCAAGGCTGTGAATTGGGAAGAAACGGATCTGTTTCGCTGAGTGTTGCTGATCAAGGTCTGTTCATCAGATGACATGGCTTTCTCTACACAGTACAGTTCAGAAAAAAATACCGTTATATGAAAGGCATGATGGAGAAGAAATGAGGGAGGGGGCTAATTATTTTGTTTTTGAAAATGGAAGGCATATTGATTGATCTTTTTGGAGCTTAATTTGCAAATGTTTTGCTTGTTTCTTCTGACTTAACTGAAAGGCAGTTTTCTGAAGAATTCTTGATGAGAGTTTTGCTCCTTTGGTTCCCATTGATGCACCTATTCTCATGCCTGAAGAGGTTCCTTCCTTTCCCCTCTTGAGGTGCCTCTCCTACCTGAAGAAGCTATGTGCTCAAAAGGGTAGAAGAACCAACCTGCATGCAGTAGTAAGAATGTGTGAGTTTACCATGCTTTTTAGAAGCTTAATAAAACTTTTCTAAATTTCTTAAAAACAAAAAGTGAAAGTGTCCTCTCCCCTTCTGTCAGTCATGCTGAGGTTATAACATGTTCAGAAAGGATTCCAGCGGGTCCATAAGTGAATGTAAGTGTCCCTGAATGTGGTAGGCACTAACCAGAAGAATTCCTTGTTTAAAGATGTTTAAATTTCCGGAATATTCCAATTCGCTATTTTAAAAAAATAGTATTTGAGTTTCTACTTCCTAAAGTGACTCTGGGGTGCTTATTTTAGCCAATTCTTAAAGCTTTTTATTTATTCTCTAAGAAAGTAGTCTTCCTGTTGCCAGTGTCCAAGAAACATCAGGAAGTAGGAAAATGTAGGGCCAAAGAGTAGTACAAAGTGTTAAATTATCAGATTTGTGTATCTTATATAAATAGCTGTAAACTAAGCTAGATTTTGGAGTATTCTGTATAATTAGCATACTTTTTTTTATAACTGATGCTAAAATGATCATTCTGGAGGCAGGGTGAGGGCATGCATATTCACAGCCAAATAAGCACATCTAATTAAAAGAGACCCAGACTTAAGTTTTTGAAAATTGGACTGATGTTACTGTTCTGCCGGAAACATGATGATTGTATATTGGCACATGCTTGTCTCTAGAAATGAATCTGTTTGAAATTGGGGTTTGCTGTTTTTAAGATTCCGCCTAAAATCATTTTTGGTACAGCCTGAGAATCTCTATTATAACAAAGCTGTGCAAAGTACAGTAAGAAGACCTGGAGCCTTGTAGGAAGTTTCTCTTCAGCTTATCTGTTATGCTTTAGTCCTGTCACATTTTAGTTTTTCAGTATCAACTGTGTATGTACTTTCATGCCACTATAGGATACTCTAATCTTTTTTTTCTCCTTCAGGAAGGTTCTCAGTGATTATACCTCAGGTATTTCTGAGTATCCTACTATCTATAGGAGGGATACCTTTGTGAGCTCAGAATGAAAAGTTTTCCTGAATTATGATGATCCCAAATCTTATGTAAATGGCCTTAGGCTTGGGTCTTAGGGAGAACTTAATGACCATCGTTAGAGTAGTTTTTTAAAAGATTTTATACTTTATGTCCTTGACTCGACATGAATGAACAGACTTTGGCAAAGGGAGGAAATAAAGAGACAGCTCATGACTAGAGCTTATTCTCTAGAAAAGGTGTATTTTATACAGTATTCAAAGTCTGTTCTTTTGTTCTGACCATTCTAGTACCTAATTAGTACTTGTTGGTTACTCACATTGACTTTAGACATCTGGAACGAGAGCTCTCAAGTGTTTAATGGTCCACTTGTTTGATGTCAGATGCCCACAGGCCTGTACTCCAAGTGTCACGCCACAGTGTCTACACCCGGGTGGCTGCATTGCAGAACACAGCTGCCGAGGGGTGGTGGTTCAGTGCCCTCTGGGGCCACCAGGGAAATACTGTTGTTGGATATCTAGGGCTTGGCTTTGTCAAACAGCTCTTTGTGCACCTACCTTTGCTTTGTCAAATGTAAATCAGTTAATAAACATGAGTATCTTCTTAAATTTTTATTTGTCTTTCTGTGTTTTTGTCCCACTTCTTCTCACAGATTATCCTGCATTGAGTCTTTCCTTTCCATTATGTTGGTTTTGGTAGAGAAAACAACCTCTCTTTGCCAAACGAATACAAAACAAACCAACAGTAGTCATAAGTATTAAACAGATCTTACTGTATTTTCTGAGATATATTTTTCAAAACAGAGGGGATGGAGTGTCTATATTTGCCATATTGTTTCCTTAGCAAAATAACAGCCGCAAAAAGTCATCGCAGATCTTTAATTTGGGAAGACTGAGAAAATGTGAAGCAATTTTTTTCCTAAACTCCACAATTTACTGTTGATGCTCTTAGCTATTTAGAAACTGTTTTTGGCAGACAGTCTCCCCTTTGGTGTCCTGCCCGCTACTCCCTTGTGGTGTAGTCAATAAACTTCTATCTCTTTTGTTCTGCCTTGGGTGAATTCTTTTACCACCCACACCGCTGGCCCCTACCCAACTGGAGCACCCCATACTTGGTGTCCTGTATGGGGAACTCTGCTGGCCTGGGACTCTTCCCAGATTCTCCAGGAATTTCTTGGAACTTTCCCTCAGTGGACCTACTCTAGTAGTCCTTGGGAAACTGAGGATCCAAAGCCCCAGGGGGAATCCACCAGACCGCCCTTGCCCGAAAGGGTGAGGGATTTTTCCCTCTTGCCCTTCAGAGGGACTCTTCCCTCCCTCTCCTTTCTCTTTTCAGCCCCTTGGCGCCCTAACCCTAGTACTCCTCAGACAACTGAAGATCTCTGGCCAGGGCAACTCCCTGATGTGGTCTAAAGGTCTGAAGGTGAACAGGTTGGACTGCTGGTGCCTGTGACGGCAAAGGATCCCTTTCCCTTCCTCTCCCGCTCCATCTCCTTTAAGGTCTCCATTCCCATTGTGCTTCTTTTGGAACTCCCTCCCTCCCCTTTTCCTTTGTTCCCATGGATCCAGCTGCCATCTTCATCTATAGGCAAAACACATTCCTATGCATCTGAGTGGCGCATCCTTTCTGCTCCTTTTTCCAACCCGGTCTGGCCAGCTGGTGTCCAGCTTTCCCTGTTGCAGAGGATGTCCCAGCAGGGATTTCTATTGCCATTTGCTGCAACCCTCCCCTTGGTAGGATGCCCCAGTAGAGTCAGTCATTCCATATAAGGTTCAGTCCTTTTTCAGGTCAGTGGGATGCCCTGACTGAAATTGCAACCACGAGTCAGGAGCTCCATTGCCTTTGGTGGGATGCCCCTTGGGAATCAGCAGCTAGTCTTTCCCACTATGGGACAAATTCCCTCTTTTCCTTTGGACTCACCCTTGGGCTGTATTCTTAAAAAATGAAACAAATGTGATGCCCAAGGCCTGTGAAAAATGTCTCATTTTTTTTATGTAATGTTTCCTGGCCTTAGTACAAACTCCCAGATCAAGAGGTATGGCCCCTCCACGGAACCGTTTCTTATTATTTTCCAGCTTGACCTCTTTTGCCAGAATTCCTCCAAATGGTTGGGAGTCCCACATGTGCGAGCCTTCATGTCACTGTCCCCAAATCCTGACCTCTGCAAAAACTGTAAAATGTGTTTTGCCAGGTTTCATGGCCATCTGATCCTGCAGATAGCTATCAAACCTGAAACTTTGAGGTTTTGCTAAGTTAAATGATAAGTTGGATTGAATTCATTGGATAGCTAAGTCATTTCCAAATAAGATAAACTCCTAAAGCATTGGTTAATGATGTAGGTCTCTCTGCTTTTGACTTCTTACTGCAGAGAAACTAAAAATACTTGGGTCTGTTGGAAAACATGCTTTGTGCCTTATTGAAAGATTATACTTTGAAAACTGCATGTCCCCAAAAATTATGAAATGAATTCATAAATTTGCCAATCTAAAGAATTTTGGTGTAATAGTTCACAATTGGTTACTACTTAGTTTTCACTGGAGACTAAGGTTCTAAGAGTTAAAATTTTGCTATATGTAATTAAGACATGGAAATGATAAGGAAAGCAACTCCGTATGTAAGAAAGTAGGAGACGTGTAAAAAGGTGTCAGGAATGAGAATACATTTTTGTTGAGGGAAAAAGAAGGTAATTTTGTTCCAAAATGAGACTACTTATGTGGAGAGAAAAGACTTAGGACAAAATCTGAATACAAAAGAAAGTTGTAGGTCTGTGAAGGGAAAGCTCTAGAAAAGAATTTTATGTGTGGTCAGGATGAACTAAGATTGAAACAAATAGTACCTGAACCCTCTGAAATTCAGAAACTCTCAATGAGTATTCTTTGTTCAATGGCAATTATAATTATTTGCATAAGTCCAGTGAGAATCTATTCTTCTTGTAACAAGACACCATTGGAAACATTGGTTATATTACCAAGGTTTTGACTGGAATGTCATATTTGAGAGAGACATGCATAGACTCAGATATAACCAGACATCTGTAAGGAATTAAGGTTGACTTTATGAAGCCAATAGAGCCCCTTGGAAATGTTGGTCTGGTACCTTGCTTACAGAATTCCCAGCAGCCTTGCCAGGTGAGTAAAGAATATCACTTCCTGGGAGGTGCAGGAACCTCAGGATTTGGGGTGGGGGGAACCTCAAGAAGAGCAATTTGCCCAAATCTACAGGTATTGCAGGCATGTCTGATGGCAAACATTTGGTTTGGCTTCTCGCCTCAAGAGTCTATTAAAAGTTCAGCCTGCAGATTCCTTGTGAAAAGTTCCAGGAAAGCAAATTTTAAAGGATCTCTATGGTCAATCACTATTCTTGTTGAACTTATGTAAATAATTAGGCCAAATTTGTTAAAATTGGACTTGTTTTTCAAATGAATTAGTCTTGATTTGGATACAAAATTTAGTGATTTAGTGATATTCCCAGCATCTTTAATTGTGTTTTCTTTCACAAATGAAGAGCAGCAGTAGATGTGTTTAAGTTCCAAAACCTTCTGATGAGGGCAATATTTGAGGGCATTCTGTTGACTTACATCTCTGTTTTTACTATATTAAGTTTGATTTATGCTAGTATCAAGTTTTGTTTTTCATTGGTGTTTATAAAATAAGTACCTAAATGCCATAGAATTTTCAAATGAACAAATGTTGCTGTGCAGGTTTGGTAAAGACGACAAAATACAGCTGCTGGCTGGCAGGCATGAAGAGTTTTATTCTAAGAAAATGAGAGTAAAACACACCAAAGATGTGAGATATTAGCAAAAAATACAGAAAAGTCAAATAATTTAAAAAGTGTTCCATAACATTTATTTTTCTTGCCTTCTAGCAAAATCACTAAGTTAGTTAAAGGCAAGATTTTCACATTATATTTAAACATTACAACAAAGGGCCAGAAAACTTTACAAAATATTTTAATTTTGTGTAATCCACTACCACTTAAAAAGCTATTTCACCATCTTTCAAGGGACTCTCTAGATACACACAGTTCCATACAATAATGTGAAGAAGTAGCGCATTGCTTCATACATGTTCCATCTAGGCCTATACATACATATATATAAATTTTAAGGTAATCAAAATTCATATTGCAAAATATTCTTCAGCCACAAAATGCAGGTCTTGCAAGTACCACTCCATTATATAAGTACCTGTGGAATTACAAATTAAAACATTAGGGGGCGCCTGGGTAGCTCAGTAGATTAAGTGTCTGACTCACGATTTCCACTCAGGTCGTGATCTCAGAGTGGTGAGATCAAGCCCAGCTGAGAGTCTGCTTGAGATGCCACTTGACATTCCCTCTGCCCCTCCTCCCCCTCGCGGGCGCGCGCACACAAGCTACCTCTCTCTCCACTAAATAAATAAAAGTCTTTAAATAAAAAAATTAAAATGTTAAAAGAAGCGAAAAATGGATGCTCGGCACCACTGGAAAACAGTATTTCATTATGCGTGAATTGATGCATCCATACTGAGAACTTTTGACAAGTTACCTTTCCTCTCTCCTCGCTGCTGCTGCCCTCATTCCTCCTGAATTCCAGAGCAGTGTCTGTCTCTGACCTTAGCAGCACAACCCAGAAACCTTCCTAGCATTTAAGAAAAAAATTGTATTCTTGAACTATAGCTGACCTACAATGCTATGGTAGTCTCAGGTCTACAACACAGTGATTCAACAATTCTATACATTACACAGCGCTCACCAGAAGTGTGGTCACCATGCAAGGTTATCACAATATTATTGGCTATCTTTCCTATGCTGTACTTTATATCCCTGTGACTTATTTCTTTTATTACTGGAAGTTTGTACTTCTTGATCCCCCTCCTCTATTTCGCCCATACCCCATCTCCACCCCTCTGGCAACCACGAGTTTGTTCTCTGTATTTATGAGTCTGTTTCTGTTTTTGTAAGTTTCATTTTTTGGATCCCACATTTAAGTGAAATCATATTGTATTTGTCTTTCTCTGAAAAGATTCTCAGCATCACTAATCATTAGGGAGATGCAAATCAAAATCACAATGAAATATCACCTCCCACTTGTCAGAATGGCTATTATCAAAAAGACAAGAAATAAGTGTTGGCAAGGATGGGGTGTAAAAGGAACCCTCATGTCCTGTGGGTTGGAATGTAAATTGGTGCAACCACTGTGGAAAACAGTATAGAGGTTCCTCAACAAATTAAAAATAGAAATGCCATATGATCCAGTAATTCTACTACTGGGTATTTACCCCCAAAAAATGAAAACACTAATTTGGAAAGATACATGCACCCCTATGTTTACTGCAGCTTTGCTTACAAGAGCCAAGATATGGAAGCAACCCAAGTGTCCATCCACAGATGAAAGGAGAAAGAAGATGTGGGTATGTGCAATGAAAAATTACTCAACAATAAAAAAAAAAAGAATGAAATCTTGCCATCTGGGACAATATGGATGGACCTCGAGGGTATTATGCTAAATGAAATAAGGCAGACAGAGAAAGACAAATACCTTCATAGCATTTTGACATAGTCATCTTTTGTTTTGAAGATAAAGGGTAAGAGGTGAGGAGAGGCATTCCCCTGGATCCTGAATGGGGTTACTGATGAGAACAACAGATGTTTAGGGTAATGGGTCCTGCCGTTCCAGTGCTGAGCCCCAGATCAAGTGCCCGTAGGCATTTGTATGACTCCTGTGGCTTCCTGGAGAGGGACCATTTGGGAACAGCTCAATCAGTCACTTAGCAGAGCACCCTAAAGTGAGATCTTCAAAGACAAGAAGCAATCAAAGGAAACCGAGCAACTTGGAGATAATGATAAGCTCCCTGAAAGAACACTGTCTTTTCCACACCGGAAGTATTCTCAGAGAGCCACAGAAGGCTTACCCAAATGGAAAGCTTCTGAATACTCAACTGGCTGATCACACTTGTCACTTCCTGAGGACCACAGCATCCCACAAGGTGGTGCCCATTTCCCAATCCAATGTGCAAGCTAATTTTGTTGATATAATTGGATTAAGTCACAGTTTCTCTCATTTACTTACTCAACCTCTACTCTCTTATACTGTTGGTATTCTGGCCTCTCCCACCTCCATTCCAAATACTAAGGCACATTGCTTTGGGGAACGTTACTGACAATGTGAGTAGCATCAGTCCCCTTTCTGGGTCTTTGGAAAGAGCCTTTTGCACAATGCAAAGTTTCCCTAAATTCAGTCAAAGAGCCGTTGACACTTAGCCCCTAAAAGCCTTCCTTTCCTTCCCCTCTGCCGTTTTGGATCTGACAAAGTTGTACTCATGTCTAAATAGAGGAAAGGAGGAAAGAAAAATCCTAAAGCAGTGGTAATTAGTGCCAAGCCTTGGCCAAGTCAAGTGACCTCCTTCTGTGCCTGCTTCCTTTGTATCTTTGCTTTTAGCCACTCTCCCCATAAGACCCAAATCCTGCTTTTTATAAATCATGAGAAAGCATTTAGATATAAAATTTCACAGACTCCAAGTAATATCCAATCTCTAGATAGAGATGGATTTAACTGGATTAGTCAAATCTATTCATTGTTCTCTTTGTGACTTTTTTGCCTCCCCTTTAGTTTTTGAAGTTGGTCTTCATCTAGTCTGCCCGTGGTGCTTGGAGTTGGGGCAGCCAGAGTGTAACCACAGGCTCCCCTCAGTTGACACCCTGAGATGGGCATGAGAGAAATATGGAAAAAACCCAATTCTCCAATGACATTGCTGAGTCTGCATCAATCTGGTAGCACTACTTCCAGACTTTGTATTTCATGAAACTAATGAACCTTTTTTATTTAAGCCATTTTCATTCAAGTGATGGCTGTACATATTTGAGCCATAACATGGTCCACCTTTAAGAAATACTGTTGTAAATATTGGTGGCGTTCCTCAGGGCTCTGTTCTAGACCCTATTCTCTTCTTACACCCTTCCCCTGTGTGATCTCATCCACTCCCTTGCCTTTAAATATTATTTACCCTGAAGACTCCTGAAGTATTTCTGGCCCAGACTCTTCCTTTGAAACCCAAATCATGGAACAAACTCTGTAATGGACATCACCACTTGGGTGTCTCCCTGGCACCTCAAACTCAACATGTCCAAGTTGAAGTCATGATCTGCTCCTTTGAGCCTGTTTATCCTCCAGACTTTATCATCTCAATAAAATGACACTGCCATCTATTCAATTGCTTGAGCTAAAAACCCATGAATCGTTGTTACCTCCTCCTTTTCTTCATTGTGACATCTGATCAATCTCCAAGTCTTATTGTGTCCTCTCCTCTCCATCCTTACTGCTGTTCCCTCAGCCAAGGCCACCACTGTGTCTCATTTGACCACTGCCACGGATTCCTAACTGGTTTCCCTGCCTCCTGACTTGGCCTCTCCAGTTGTTTCTCTACATTGCCGTCAAAATGATCTTTCTGGGGGCGCCTGGGTGGCTCAGTCATTAAGCGTCTGCCTTTGGCTCAGGTCATGATTCCAGGGTCCTGGGATTGAGCTCCGCATTGAGCTCTGTGCTCAGTGGGAAGCCTGCTTCTCCCTCTCCCACTCCGCCTGCTTGTATTCCCTCTCTTGCTGTCTCTCTCTGTCAAATAAATAAAATCTTTTAAAAAAATGATCTTTCTGTTCAAAACTAGTCAAATCCCTTCTCTTTGACTCATAAGAAGTCTCTGCTGTCCATTCCCACTGCATCTGGTGATGCCCGTAATGTAAGCTTCTTTGTGCTTTTATTGAATTTATTGTCTGCTTCCGCACCAGTCTCTAAGCTCTGTGGAGCACAGGAACTGAGGTATATCCCCCCCACCTCACAACAGTGCTTGGTACACAGTAGATAATAAATGTGAAGTCAAATGAATGGATGAATTTATAACATTGTTTTGTAAACTATGGGTCGTGACCCATCAGTGGATCATGAAATCAACCAAGTGGATTTATAATGAGCTTTCATTTTAAATAGAAGAAAAAATAATAGATGAGAATAGTATGTAATAAAGATATTATTTCATGCAACTTTTTGTTATAAATGTGTAAAATATATTTCTTATAGTGAGTTGCAGTAGAATAAAAATGAAAGCCACTGGTCTATCATAAGCAAGCATTTTTTTTTCTGTAATGAGAAAAAGCAGCTTTTCTGCTTAGGAAAACTTAGGGAAAAAAAATTGTCGAACTCCCTGGTGACTGAAAAGGATTCTTGCCCTAGGGGATTTGTACTTTTACAGATTTCAAAGCCTGAAATTCAAGGAAGAAATTGCCTCCTTTAGAGTTTTAGGTTTCTGTAAGCAAATGACAAAAGAACTTAAAATCCTCCACAGATCCTGCCTTGCAACTATGGTCACAGGCCAATTAAGCTTAGGAGTGCTGTTTAATTCTATTTCCTCTGAAAGTATAGCTTAAGCATATTTTGTCTTGTGTCTTGGAGAATTTGTTAACTGGCTGCTTCTCTCGGCCTTCTCTCTTTGAGAGCAGAGGGCCTGAGCCAATGAGGTGCTGCCGTTCTGTTTCCATAGCAATAAAAGAAACAAACCTTTGCCTACCACCTCCCAAGGACAAACCTCACAACTCAAGGCCCAAGTCAAGAGAGTCTGAATGGTAGGCTGGCTTTCTCCTCAGTTTGACTTTCATTGCAGTATTGAAAGGCTCAAACTGGACTGTTCTTAGATGGGAAATTTGTACTCACGCCAGTTCAGCCTTTGTAAAAGCCTTTGATTGGATTCACTGAAAGTCTGTCTTCTCGCCCTACACATACTGTGGATTTTCTGCTTTGGCATTTCAATTACTTGGAACGACCACCAATGTCTTGGGTTCTGGAACCTCTGGATTTGATCTAAAATGAATGCTGATTTTATGTTGATGAGAAACAGTTTCTCTATAAAATTGTGGTGTCTTTAAGACTCTTGACTTGGAAAAGAACTACATGAGAGAAACAAATCTTTGAGCAGTCCAAGGTAAGCTCTTTGGAAAAGATGTTTTATGTCATTTTTTTTGTCTGGTTATTAGTCCAAACCTGTGACCTTTCTGAAGGCTCAGCTGGCTCACTGGTAACTACAGCGTCACCACTGGACCCATTCAGTGACACGTTTACCACTGAGCCTCAGGTAAAATCATCAGAGAGAAATACAGGAAAGGAAAAGAGTAGGGAGAAAGAATCCTAAATCACACATGGGTGTGCATGCATACACACACACACACACACACACACACACACACACACACACCCCTCTATATTCTTAAAGCCATGCAATGCAACATCAAGCCACTGTGAATGCAATAGATCTATCTATGCTGATATGGAAATATCTACTAGATATCCTGTTATATAACAAGTGCAAGACATGGCATAGTGTGTAAAGTATACTCTCATTTATGTAAAAATTTTTAGGGATTTTATATATATTATATATAGTCATATTCATAGAACATTTCTGGAAGTATACCCTCAATAAAAGCCTGTTAACAGTGGTTCCCTCATGGGAGAGTACTGGAAGTAGAGGGCTGATGTTTAGCTGGTATGTATTCATTGAAATATTGAAATATTGCCATACTGGTTGTATATAGAGTTGACCCTTGAATAACAATCTTGAACAACACCAGGGGTTGGGGCATTGACCCCTGTGCAGTCAAAAATCCTAGTATAACTTTAGACTCCTCAAAAATGTTGACCTGCTGGCCTTCTGTTGAGCAGAAGCCTTATCCATAACATACAGTCAATTAACACATATTCTTTCTAAAAGATTTATTTATTTATTTGAGAGAGAGAGAGCGCATGAGCGTTGGGGAGGAGGGGCAGAAGGAGAGGGAGATTATCCAAGCCCGTCAAATGTCCTCCCTGCCACCTTGGTTGCCCCAGGTCCTCCTCTGGTCCCCCAGACCTCCTATGATTAAGCAACTAACGGTTTAATGCCCGGCACAAACTTACTAGTTTGTTTTACTAGTTTGTCTTACTAGTTGTTAAATATCTTGAGTATTTATCCCCATCGGTGTTCAGCAGGAGAGGCCTTCACTTTTTAAAAGCAAAAGATTATACACCAAGGCATTGTTTACAATAGAAAAAAAAAGGAAACAACCAAATGTTCATGAATACACAACTGGCTAAAAATATAATGGGTACGGTTGTAGCATAGAAATTTATACAGTTATGATAAAGAAACAAATCCTAGACTTGTTTTATAGATTTGCCTATAATATAATTAAAATTATGGACTTGCTTTAAATTTGTTTTAAAATATTTGTTTAAACAGACAATCTGGTATTAGAGGAGTGGGCTGGGTATAGATGAATGAGATTAGCCACAAATTGCTAATTGTCCAAGCTGGGTGACAAGTGAGTTCATTATACTGTTTTCCCTACTTTTGTACATTTAAAAAATTTATCCACAGTAAACTTAAGTTTAAAAAATGATGATATGTCTATAGTTACCAACATTAAAAGAAGCTCATGACATTGTTGATAACAAGTATGTGTAGAATGTATGTATAGTTTCTTCCCATTTATGGAAAATTATATGAATCTGTTTCTTGAGTCTAGAGAGAATTCTAGAAGTTATTAACCAAAATATTTCCGGTGGTCATCATGTTAGTATTTCGGATAATTTTTACTTCCTTAGGCTTTCCTGTATTATGATTTTCTTTACAGTGAGACTATTTCAGTTTCACACACACACTCACACACACACAAATAAACCTATTCTTTCCAAATATTAGAAATAAAAGCTTCTGTATACAAAAATATCACTAGGGTTTGTAATGTTCCTAAACTCAGTTACCAGTTTTTGAGAACCTAATGTGTACGAGGCAGTGGGCCGAGAGCTTTTCTGACATGGTCTCATCTCGTGTGCATGACCTCCCAATGAGGCGGAACTTCCATGTCCCTATTTTGCAGATGAAGAAACCAAGACCCAGAAAAGTAAAAGTAAATGTCTTGAGGTCCTGCAGCTATTAAGTAGAGTAGTAATTATGCAAAGTCAGGCCCACCTGACTCCAAAACCCAAGGAAAATCTTAGTAAAGAATGTTGTAGAAGAAAAAAAACCCATAATCCTGGTATTTTGGCCCAATTTTCCTTTTTTACCATATTCTTTTCTAACTTTTGTGCATATAGGTACATACTTTTACATAATTGTATCCATTGCATATATACCATCTTATATCTTTGTTCCTAACCATTTCTTCATGTTCCCACAGGCTTTCAAATAATCCGTTAAAATCTATGTAAAACTCCCATTGAGTGACTGTACAATAATTTACCAATCATTTTGGGTTTTTTAACTCTAATTTTTCATATTATCTATACCATTGTAACAATGATGACATTTTTGCAATTCCTCTGTGGATCTCCTTCCTCCTTGTCGAGTCGGTCCCTGTGGTGAGAGCCACTCAGTTTATCAGTCAGGCCACAAATATTTATCCAGGACCCATTGTGGACAAGTCGCTGGGCCAGGCTCCATGGGGACACAGAGAATGACCTGGTGGAGTCCCGCCCTTCAAGAACCACACAGTGCGGTTGGTCAGGCAAGAAATAGAATAAAGGGGGCGCCTGGGTGGCTCAGTCGTTAAGTGTCTGCCTTCGGCTCAGGTCATGATCCCAGGGTCCTGGGGTCCAGCCCCGCATCGGGCTCCCTGCTCAGCGGGAAGCCTGCTTCTCCCTCTCCCACTCCCCCTGCTTGTGTTCCCTCTCTGGCTGTCTTTCTCTCTGTCAAATAAATAAAAACTTTAAAAAAAAAAGAAAAAGAAATAGAATAAAGAAGGGAGTTGCTGGGAGCTGGCCTTGGTCTCTCACCGCCTGCGCCAGGGACTCCTGCCAAGTCGCCCAAGCTCAGGATCGGCTCCTGTCCTCGCAGGAAGCAGATGCCAGGTCTGAAGCAGCAGCAGAGCTTCCTTCTTGCCGCTGCTACATCCGCCTTGCAGACTCTCACCCGAATTCTAGCCCCTGTGGCATCGCCTTCTCGGCCTGGGTGCCCCACCCCAACTGCCTCCCTGACCCTGTCTCCCTCAGATCTCCTGACTAGGCCCCCAAGCACACAGAACACAGCTAGATGTGGGGGGCCCTGTCACCCGGTCTTTAGGCGCGTGCTGTTTACCCAGTCTCTTGGCCGGGGGGCACCCTGGGCCCAGACCTCTGGCCCAGCCCATCTGGCAGGCCTACCTCCACCTGCACATCCTGCCTTTCTCCCAAGGCCAGGTCTCCTGCCCTGGCTCCACAGCCCACTCAGCTCCCTTTCTGATGGCTACCCTCCTGACCACAAGTTCCCCAAGGGCAGGGTGCAAGCGTGCAGTATCCCGCAGCAACTAGAACAGTCCTCACGGCAAGAGCCTGTAAGTATTTTTGCGGTTATTTATTCATTCATTTGAGAGAGAGACAGAGCACAAGCAGGGGGAGAGGAAGAAACAGACTCCCCACTGAGCAGGGAGCCCGACATGGCACTCAATCCCAAGACCTGGAGATCATGACCTGAGCCGAAGGCAGATGCTTCACCATCTGAGCCACCCAGGCACCCCAGTGTTTTTGTTGTTAAATGAGCATTTACAGGCAGCCCAGGAGTCACTTCATTTTGAATCTGTTTCTTCATCTGTAAAATGGACTCAATGTTATGGTTACCTTTCGCTCTAAAAGTCATTAAAACATACAACTGAGTTTCTCAAGCATTGGTCACGTTACACAAAAAGGTTTGTTTCATTTTTCAGTTGATTCTTAAACAAATTTATTCCAGTGTACTATTGGAAACCAGCCACTGACTTAGAAATTTGAGTTAAATCTGCTGTCGTTGTAATCCCTCTGTGGGTCTGTTGGTTCACCTAACATTTTGGGGCATTGGTTTTTATTTTCTATCAAATAATCCACTGATATCATTTAAAAAGTAAATTGTGTTATGAGTTTATTAATGAAAAGTTAGCGTTTCTGCCCCCTGCCCCTCACTTCTCAGTTCTATTCCTCAGCATGCTCCTTAGGGGCAACTATTTTCAGCTCTTGAAGCTATTTCTTTTGGAATTTAACTTCATACTTCTCAATAATGTGCCCCCACTCCATTTGTTAATTTTTCAGTTTGAGCCATTGTCTATTGACTTCTTGGTGTGGTAGATGAGGATTTGGCCCTTATATGCCCTCCCTCCATTCCCCTCCCCTTCTCTGCCAATGTAGTCCCAATTCACTTTTTGGTTAAATCACTATTAAGTGTTTACTTTAATATACATGAGTGCGTACCTTACTATAACCATGTTTACTTTCTTCCATAATATTTTGTAACCTGGAGTCATTATGCAATTTTTATTTTCTTAGGTTTCTATGTTTCTATTGGTAATTTCACCTCGATTGCTCTGTTTCCTATTACAACTGCTCTGTAACAAATGACCACAAATTTAGTGGCTTAAAACAACACCAATTTATTCCCCTGCAGTTCTGAGGTCACATGTCTGAAATGGGTCTCACTGGGCTAAAATCAAGGTGTTGGCAGGACTTGGTTCCTCCTGGAGGCTTTAGCAGAGAATCATTTCCTTGCCTTTTCCAGCTTCTAAAGATGCCCACATTCCTTGGCTTGTGGCCCTTCCTTGATCACTCTTACCTCCTCTTCCATCATCACATTTTCTTCTCTGATTCTGACTCTCCCTCTTATAAGGAGGTTTAAGATTACCTTAGGCCCACACAGATAATCTGGGATCATCTCCCTTCTCAAGATCCTCAACTTAATCATAGCTGCAAGTCCTCTTTTTGCACAGGTTCCAGGGATGGACACATGGACATGTTGGCAGATCATTCTCTCATCATCTGGCCTACTACGTGCTCTAACAGATCTGCCAGAGGCCTGTCCATATTATCCAACAATCCACCAGGTCCAAGTCCCGAGTCTTGGGGGCCTTTGATGCATGAATTCGTCCCTTCTGGTTTGTACCCACTTTGCAGGTGTGTAGGCTTCAGCTTCCAATGGCGTGCTGAGTGGGGGACTTGTTGTGTCAAACTTGCATGGACAACCCTTGTACAGTTCTGTCTCCTCTCCCACTCTCCCTGTTCTTGTCAAATTAAACCTCTTTTAATCCTTGAATTAGGAGAAAAGCCAGTCCTTCCTCCTATGTGTCTCTTTTGCTCTCACACAACTATCACACTCACAACACTTATGACACCAGATGTATGTGGGTCTTCCCCCACCAAGCAATTCTCTACAACATCAGCTGGGAGTCCTATAATTTACCTCAATTCTGACACTCTACCTGTAGGTAGCTCCAGATCCCACAGGTAAGGCCTCAGTCCCGCAAGACTGTGCACCATGCCCTGTCCCGTCCGCCAGAGATACCAATTGCAAATCCATGTTGTCATCTGTGCTTCTGACCCATCAGTTATAAATCAGAGGTTCCCATGACCCCTTCCTTAGGTGCAGTTAATTTGCCTAGAACAGCTCACAGAGCTCAGGAAAAAAAATTACTTGCATTTACCCGTTTATTAAAGGATATGATAAAGGATACAGATGAACAGCCAGATGAATCAGTACAAGCAGTGAGGTCTAGGAGGCTCCCAAGCGCGGGAGCATCTGTCCTCATGGAGTCTGGGTGCATCACCCTCCCAATGTGAATGTGTTTGTCAACCCTGAAGCTCACCGAACCCCATACTTCTGGGAGTTTTATGGAGACTTCCTCATGGTATGATCAGTTATTAACTCCATTTCCAGGCCCTCTCCCCTCCTTGCAGGGGGCAGGGACTGAGGCTGAAAACTCTTAACTTTTTAATCACGTCTTGGTTTTTCTGGTGACCAGCCCCCATCCTGGAGCCCACCCAGAGTTGCCTCATTAGAACAACGATGCTCCTAGTGTTCTTATTCCTTGGGATTCGCAAGGGTTTCCTGTGTCGGGAACTGGGGCAGAGACCAATATATATTTTTTTCTAGTATCTCACAATCCTATACTATCATTTTAGTGGCGTTCTGGAAAATAAAGAAGATAAACAAGTGTGGTCAAGCCTCCCTGTTTATCTGATAGTTGTCTTCCGTGCGGACATTTATAATAGGGATTCTTTGGTTTTGTTTTCATGGAGCCAAGAAGGAAGAGTTTTGATCTAAATTCGGGCAGGTGAACAGGAATGAGAAACTAGGACATTCACTTGCACTGTAACTTGAGTAACAGAGTTAATTTTCAAGGAAATTCTGTGCAAGACCTACTGTAGGAACTTCTCATTTCGGTGAGAGCTAGTGTAGCCTGATGGAACAAGGGCTTGGGAGTCCAGTAGACTTGTGCTTATTTCCAGCCCTGCAACTTGCTACCTCTGTGATCATTCTGAGCCTCAGGATCTTCACCTGTAAAATTGGGATAACAATAATCGATCATTTGTTGTGCAACTGGCTCACAGTAAGCACTCAATGGAGGCAAAATTTAAATTGCTTTAGAGTCAAGTCTACGGGGTACCAAAGGGTGAGATGTTATTCTATAATCAAGACCTTACACCAGATCAACAGCTTCCAGAATCTACCATCTGTGATTTGGGCCTTTGCTGGGTCCTTCCTAATTTGTTTCTAAATGTTTTTGCTTTGACTATGAATGGTGTAACCCTCTGCTGTTACTTTCCAACTTCAGCAAGAGCCTCCTGATCTAGTGGCCAAGACCGCCTCTGACCTCCTGCCATGTACCCCAACCCTCTCATCTACTGCACCTGCTGGGACCCCTGGAACTTGGGACCACGGAAGCTAATCAAGACCCCTCGGCCACCAACCAAGACCTCCATAGGGAAGCCCAAGTAAGGATAATAAGGATGGAGTTTGACCTGGGAACTAGGTTTCCATTTGCAGGCTCTTTTCTCTTACAATATTTCCAGTCAACTGGGCAACAAAATCCCAAGAAGATCAGAAAGCCTAGCTTTCCACAGCTTTTCCAGCCAACCTGTTGGCAGCAGATCACTCTTGCCAGTCCTCCTTAGGCTCGGTGTCATTTTAAATGAGGAAATCTCAGAGTGAGTGCAGCAGGGAAAGGGCGACTTCCAACCAAAGGGCCCCAGAGCCCCCCATGGGGGACGAAGAGCTTTGGGAGCTGGGGGACAAGCTATGCTGCCAACCCCGGGTCCCCTGGGAAGTGAACCTCCTCAAGTAAACCTCCTTCTGATAGAGACTCCCCAAGACCTTCCTGACTTTAAAGATTTCAGCAGTTGGAGCATGTAGTCCAATTTGGGGTCATCATGGCCATGTACCTAATCTGGGAGTGCTAAAAGGGGTTTCTGAATTTCTAATTTTCTCTCTTCCATTATTTATTTTTCACTTTCAGGCTAACTCCTCTTCCTCCAGCTGCAAAAAAACAAAGTTGTGTTCAACCAACAACAAAACCTGTTGTTGCCCCAAAGTGAGTATTTTTACATCCATGGGGGCAGGAATTACCAGAATCCGCTGTGATTTCCCCCACACCTCAGATCCTACATGTAAATTGTGTGGACCCTCTGCATCCACAGCTTTCAAAATCACAAGAAATGAGCTCTCATTTAGGATGCCCCTGAGAGCTGCTATTTCCTGCCCTAAAAGGAAACAATATGTGATGCACATCATAGGCAAAGAGCCTTGGGGAGCCTCCCTGGCATTTATGGTGGTGACTCACTTTTACTGGTTACTTTTCTACGTCTATGGTTTTCTGTAGATTGCAGATCTGTTTTTACTCAAAAATTAAATTTTTATCCATATTTTGTAAACTTAGAAGTATAACTTAGTTTTAGGCCTTTGCATGAATCTTTGTATTCAATGTCTTTATTTATTTGGAAAATATTTATTGAGCCCTATTATTTTCTGGGCATTATTTCAGGTGCAAGGAAACAACAGTGAACACAGCAGAGTCTCTGCTCCTAGAGCTTACATTCTAGTGGGGAGAATAGATTTACACAAGTTCATACACCCAATGCATACACCCTACCTAGGGCTAGGTAGAAAATAACACAGGCAAAGGGAGGTGGGGATGCTGAGGGTGGGGTTGTGATTTTATATAAGGAGTTCAGGGCAACCCTTGTGTAAAAGGGACAGCAGAAGCCTGCTGATATCTGGGGCTAGCACTCCTGGCAGAGGGAACAGCAGGTACAAAGGCCCTGAGTGGGAACCCGTTTGGCACATTTGGTCTTTTCCAGGAAAGCATAGAGGCCCATGTGGCAGGAGTGGAGGGCATAAGGAGACAGTGGTGGTGAGTGAGGTCAGAGAAGCAACAGAAAGGATGAACGTGGATGGCAGAATAATGGCCCCCCAAAGACATCCACACCTTAATCCCCGGAAACTGTGATTATATTCTGTTACTCATCAAGGGGGAATTAAGGTTGCAGATGGAATGATGTTTGCTAATCAGCTGACTTTGAGATGGACAGATCACCCTGGATTATCCGGGTGGGCCCAATGTTATCACAAAGGTCCTTATGCCTGAAAGAGGAGATGTGATGTGGTCATTGGCTTTGATGGAGAAAAAAAGGCCACTAGGAACACAGGAAGCTTCTAGGAGCTGGAAAAGGCAAGGAAACAAATTTTCCTGTGGAAGCTCTGGGAGGATTATAAGCTTGTCAACACCTTGATTTTTAGCCCAGTGAGACCCATTTCAGACTTTGGCCTCTAGAACTGTAAGGTAATGAGTTGGTTTTGTTTTAAGCCACTGAGCTTGTAGTAATTTTTTGCAGCAGCAATAGGAAACTCATACAGTAAAGTTTGCTGGACAGTGTAAGGACTCTGGCTTTTACTTCCAAAGGGATAGTGTATTCGCTGCTAGGCCTGCCATACCAAAACAAACAAACAAGCAAGCAAACAAAAAACACAGACTGTGTGGCTTACGCAACAGAAATTTATTTTCTCACAGTTCTAGAGGCTGGAAGTCAAAGACCAACGTGCCCACAGGGTTGGTTTCCTCTCGGGACTCTCTCCTTGGCTTGTAGATGGCCACCTACTTGCTGCCTCTTCATATGGTCTTTTCTTTGCGGGTGCTCATCCCTGGTGTCTCTCTGTGTGTCCTGACTCTCTTACAAGGACACCAGTAAGGTTGTATTAGTGCCCACCCTAAGGGCCTCATTTAACTTAATCCCCTTCTAAAGGCCTTGTTTTCAATACTGTCACATTCGAAGGTGTTGGGGGTTAGGGTTGCAACATATGAAATTTTGGTGGACACAAATTTTCAGCCCATCATAGATGGGAAAACAGCAGAGGATTCTGAGAAGAGTGACATGATCCAACTTGCATTTTGAAAGGACTGTTCTGGCTACTATGTCGAGAATGGACTACAGTGACCAAGGGTAGAAGCAGGGAGGCCAATTACATCTTATCTGGATGTAATTCTAGGGACCCAAGCAAGAGAAGATGGTGCTTAGACCTGGTGGGGAACAGCACAGGTGGGGAGAAGTGGTTGCCTTTGAGATATATTCTGAAGGTAGAAACCGGTAGGATCTGCTAATGGGATGGGTGTTAAGTACGAGAAAAAAGCAAAAGGAGGAGTCAAGGATGACTTCAAGATTTGGAGCTGAGCAACAGGAAGGATGGAGTTGCCATTTTCTGCAACTGGGGAAGACTGCGGGAGGTGCACATTTGTAGGGGTTTGAGCATAGCACGTTCCAGATGCCTCGTACTATCCAAGTGGCAATGTCAAGTAAGCAGTTGGATATGTGGGTCTGGGAGAGAGGTCTGGGCTGCAGATACACACTTGACAGTCATCAGCATATACGGGATACCTAGAGCCCTGGGCCCAGATGAGATCTCCAAGGCAGGGAGTGGAGCCAGAAGTAGGAAGAGGTGGGAGAACAGAGACCCAGAGCACTCCAGTGTTGAGAGGTTGGAGAGACCCCAAAAAGAAGACTGACAAGGAGTGGTCAGTGAGGTAGATGAAGAATCATCTACCTGGTGTCCTGGAAGCAAAATGACAAAAATGTTCCAAGAAGGAGGGTCTAATCATCTGTGTCAGATACTGCTGATAAGTAATTAAGATGAAGGCTGAGATGAACTATTGGATTGAATGGCCCCGAAGTTCACTGGCGACAGTGAAGAGGATTGTTTCAATGGTGGAGGTGATAAAGTCTGATTAGAGGGGGACCCATTCATAGCAAGGGATCAACTGAATGGCCATGTAGCTGAGCTGGTTCCTAGTGCCTGTCTTCTGTGTGCTAGCTAGCACTCCTGGCATGATCGCACCTGACGGCCTTATCTGACCCCTATTCATACTCAAGCTCAAGGCCTCAGTCTCCCAGTGCCTCTTGTTGGGAGCGACCTCACTCATATCCACCCTGCCCACCAATTAGCCCCTGCTAACACTGTCCTAGTCCTGCTTTGCAATATGGTGAGGGACACTTTGTGGGTACTTTTAAAATTCAAAGACCTGGTCACTGTATTTATAACTTTCCAGTGAGACCCTGCTGGGGCTCCACATCAGCCAGTCTCCAAGTCCTGCTGAGTCAGCACTGAGTGAGGCTGGGAAATGGAGCAGGGGGGGACCAGGAGGGCCTCACTCTCAGGAAGGGGCTCAGGTAGACGTTGACATGACCTACAAATGGGAACATGAAGAATCTGTTCACCGATCAACTTTTAACTTGGGCCTCCAGCTTCAAACACACATCTCTATGAATTACATCCTTTTTGCCACTCCTATAATTTTCTTGCAAACATACAATGTACTTTTTGTATTTCAAAAGTTTTAATTCTTACATGTGAACTGTAACACAATTGTCGTAACCTTGTTTCGGCAATTTTTTTTTTTTTTAATATATCAGTCGCCTTGAAAAATGGCAGTAGGCAGACTGCTCTCAATTCCTGGGAGACACAGTTGGCAAATGCTTTATCTGCAATTTTTATAGCACTTAACTTTTTCTTCTTCTATTTTCAGTATTTATGTGCCCCCCCCTTTTTTTTCTCTTCTAAAATAAAAAGAATCACATTCCATTTCTCTTGGTATGGAGCACTGTGGTTTGCATACATTAACCACTCATTGAATTCATTGAATGAGAAAACGTGAAGCCCTTTGACCGGCATCAATAAAGTCTCAAAATTTGGTTAGTGTAATCGGAGTAATCTGAGTAGGTTGACAAGGAAAAACAAGAGTCAAGGAAGAGTCATTCTGGACCGACCACACCTTTTACTTTTCAGACCGTGAAATACAATCCCAACAAAAATAAGTGCGCATAAGCCACACTCGGACCCTTGGAGCGGTTCTGAAGTGAGTGTAATGTTGAGGAAGGTCTCTGTTTGCGCTCAAGGAGATCTACCAACAACAAAAAAAGACATAAACTCAATCCATGGTCAGCTTTTTAAAGACCCAGGCTACTCAGTGATTCCCCCACCACCATCACCCCAAGGCTTTCCTAAATTCAGAGTAAGCAAAAAAATTTGCATTGTAAAGAGTTTCCGGTTTATGGATGGGAGCATATGGTTGATAGTTGAGTTGTATTTTAAGTGGCTTTAAATCTTTTTTTAAAAGATTTATTTATTTGAGAGAGAGAGCACACAAGCCAGGGGGAGGGGCAGAGGGAGAAGGAGAAGCAGACTCCCCACTGAGCCGGGATCCCAACATGGGACTCAATCCCAGGACCCCGAGATCATGACCTGAGCCCAAGGCAGACACTTAACCAACCGAACCACCCAGGTGTCCCTTGAAACTTAATTTTTAAAAAAGATTTATTTATTTTAGAGAGAGACAGGGGGTGGGGGCAGAGAGAGAGAGAGAATCCCAAGCCGACTCCCCACTGAGCACGGAGCCTGACTCAGGGCTTGATCTCACGACCCTAAGATCATGGCTGAGCTGAAACCAAGAGTCAGATGCTTAACCAACTGAGCCACCCAGGCGCCCCAGTGGTTTTAATTCTTTTAAATTTAATTATTTTAAATTCTTTAAATTTAAATCTTTTAAATACATGTAAGTCCCATTGTATTATCTTTTTTTAATTTAGTTTTTTTTTTTTTTTTGTCAGTGAGAGAGAGAGAGCAAAAGCAGGGGGAGCAGCAGAGGGAGAGGGAGAAGCAGACTTCCCGCTGAGCAGGGAGCCCACTGCAGGACTCCATCCCAGGACCCTGGGATCATGACCTGAGACAAAGGCAGACACTTAACCGACTGAGCCACCCAGGCATCCAGCCCCATTGTATTATTAGTGTATATTGTGCATTCATGCCCATTTTTATCACAAAGAGTAATGTATTTGCCAGTTAAAATAAAAGGTTGGTGGTCGTATCTGGAGTAGACAAATCCTTGGGCTGGTTTTCTCAAGAGAGTTTTCAATGCTTCTCTGGAGGCCCCTTTTCGGAGTGGGAGATATAGGATCAAAACCAGACTTTACTAACCCAGGTGGAACTGCCTCCACCAGGAAAAATCCTCCCAACCCCACACCCCACACCCAGCAGACTTGGGAAGAATCTCATCCTGGTAACCACTCCACGACCCTTAAAGATATTGTGTTTGATCATGGGGAAAATGGAACTCCTAAAGCAGGCTTTAGTTGTCTCTCTTCACAGCAGTTGCCTGAAGGAGGGGTGGAGGGTGGGG